CAAATTCCTCAAGTCCATGTTACTATTTTTTCAAAAAATTAAGTTGCTCTGAGTGGGCACTGGTACTGCCTGAGGGGAGGGCTGCTTGGGTGACTTTTGTCCTCTATAAGAATATCATCTTCAATTTGCCCCTAGCTTAGTGCATCCACAATTAACCATATGTATGTAAGAATATATATTTATTGGTTTACTAGAAGTGCATTTTGGATCATTTGATATGGTACCTTTGATTAAGTAGTGTCTGCAAATTCAAATTCAAATTCAAAATCCAAATACTTTAAATATATTTCCACTGGATAGCCATATTTTTTATTATTTTATTACTGAATATACTGTGCTTGCTGAGATTATATAGATCTCTTATTTTTATTATTATTTTTTTACAGGGGAACGTTATCAGCAACTCCTTAAATGGAAGGAAGAAAAGAGGAAGAGACTAGAGAAGGAAAGGAAGGTACGAAAACCATCCTTCAAAACAGGAATTTTCCAGCCAGACACGCCCAAGTATTTAGTTTCTATGGACGATGGAGAATTGGTAAGGATTTGATTTGGTGGACCATTTCTTTTAATTTTATTGTATATATGAATTAGGCTTATATATTTATATTCTATCCATAGTATTGAAAGGACTCCTGGCAAAGCTTATTTCTTTTCCTCAGAGTTATGTAAAGTCATTTTTGTCCCACAGTCCCAGACCCTCAACAAAACCCCTGGGAGGCCAACTCCATTCAAGTTCCTGGTCAGGTCCTCCAAGAAGTCTGGTGAGACTCCTGGAACTTCTGCGCAAAAGCCGCTCAGGTTCTGCACGGGAGTGACCCCTGGAGTGTCCACTTATAGGCGGTTACCCACCTTTGGCATGGGCACAACTCCAGATCAATCATTACAGAGAGCTGGTAGGCAAAATTCAGAGGTTGGCTCAGCCAAACCAGCCCACAGAACTCGTGCTGCATTGAAGGCTGGCAGGAAAGGTATGTTTTTTTCTTTCCTGTCCTTTTCTTTCTTTCTTTCTTTTTATGTGTTCTTTTTTTCTGAATCTATTTGTTTATTTAATTTTTCATCTTGATGTGAAGGATGATGGGATTTATTCATGAATTATGAAGAATGATTAATCTTGTTTTGTTAAGCAAGTGCTCCTACCCCTCAGTAGATAAAATAGTATATATTATTCCTGAATGCAGAAAGAAATGAGATTGCAGCTAGGAAGGGACCACTCCGTGGCCGCCCGTCAAAACTGCGGTCAAAGCAGACAGAGGCCGAGGAGTTGGGAGTGAAGCCATTACCTCGTACACCACAAGCACTTCAACGGCCACGTTTCAGCAAAGCCATCACACACGTGGCTGATACAAGAGATGCTCAAGAGCCCTCTTCCTTTGCCCCAAGTGATTTCACTTTTGAATTTAATGTAAGTGGTCTATAGTGTAGTAATATGATTATAGGATATGTGGAAGTGTACTTTTAGGTAGCTTGCTTAGTGACAAGTTTGTAGCTAAAGAGAATTGTTTAGTATTTGATAAAGCTTTAGTTGGGTATGCTTTAGTGCTCATATATATATATATATATATATATATATATATATATATATATATATATATATATATATATATAATATTTTTTATTAAATTTTTTTTTTTTTTTAATTATTATTATTATTATTATTATTATTATTATTCTAATGCTATTACTAATAAGAATATCTGTAATTCAAGGTGCAACGAGCCCTTAGCCTGATACGTTCATGCACGGAAAATGATGCCAGTGAAGACCATAATGAGCCAAGTCCCCCAAAGAGGAGGAGGAGCAGACGTTCCTCCCAATACAGCAAGAAAGAGGAAGATGTGCAAAATCCTCAACAGGAAGAAATCACTAAGGGTTCCCCCCAATCCCTGCCTCATGTTGAGTGTGTCTCCCAACAAGAATCTGATGACAGTAGCACCGGTACATATGTTGTTGGTGACCAGTGCATTGCTGACAGTGAGACCTTGCAGCAGTCAGGCTGTGAATCTGCTGATGGTGATGTTGAGGCAGACTTGCAGGAGGAGCTGGAAGCTAGTGTTGCAGAAGAGGAAGAAGAGGCCCAGGAAGAGCAGAAAGCTGAGGAACCCATGTCAGAAGAAGAGACTCAGGATCAGATTCCTCCAGGTGACGATGTTGACAGCAGCAGGAACACAGTGGAAGCAGAAGAGCCACAGGTTAAGGAGGCTCTTACCCTTGAAGCTGAAGAAAATGTGGAAGGAGAATGTAAAACCATGGAAGAGGAAGATTGCGCCTTGGAAGACAATGAACCTTCATCTCTCCACCTCAGTCCAGAAAAGACCACACACACCAGGAGAAAGAGTAAAGCGAAAACTCCAGCAAGACGATCAACAAGGAGGTCAATTGCATGTTGTGGCGAGGGTATAACACCCACATTGTCCAGACTTCGCCCTCGAACGCCCTGTAGCCGCTCCACACGCCGTTCGTTGTCTGCCCACTGTGACTCGCCTGTTGAAAGGGTGTACACGCCACTGCGACAGGCTTCCTCAAGGAGGAGGAGCACCAGGCGCTCAGTTGGCAGCGCCCTGAAGCTCAAGAACATAAGTGAAGCCCCCATTACAGACATCCCCAAGTTCAGCTTGCCATGTGAAAGTAATGCTGAAGGGGAGGACCGTGAAATCTTGGAGGAAGAGGGAGTGATGGAACCGCTGGAAAACCTTACGGAGGTATGTGGTGAGGATGATGCCATGGCAGAGTCAACAGAAGATGCTACAGCGACCAAAGTCACTGCTGCAGAAGATAAGCCAGAATTTGCAACGCCCAATCAGGTTGCATTCAAGAAGTCCCAAAAAACTCCATCGTCTGAGAAAGCCAGTGAATTAGCAACACCCATTCAGGTTGCAACTGGGATGTCCCAAACAACTCCATCTGAGAAAGCCACTGACTCCCTCATTAATGCCACCCCGAGTAAGTATTAAATGAAATAAGTAATATGATTCTACAGTAAATTTCATATATTAGCAAATAGATTTGATCATCATTTTGTCAATATCAACTATGAACTCATACTGTCCTTAGGGAGCCACGGACGACGTTCAAAGGTGTCATGGATGGTAGAGGGAAGTCCCTGGATCAACACTGCTCGTCGCTCCTCCCAGAAGAAGAGGCGCAGTGGTGTTCCTCCAGATATTCTCAGTCTCTTTCATGACATCCCAACCGATGGTAAGGGTATTTTCCCACGTAGCTGTAGATTGGGCTTGTTTGTGTGATATGCTGAGTATAATGTTAAAAGTTTGAGTTTTTTAAATATGTATATTGAAAAGCTGGATGGGTTCTGTTGACAGTAAATGTTTCTGAATGAGTTTAAGTTTAAGTGAGTTAAGTGTTTTATGTTCAAAGGGTCACCGCTCCCCGCACACTTAACTCCAGAAGGAATGAGAACTAAGGATTTGGGAGCCTCGCCTGTAACTGCTGTTTATAACTCACCCATGGGGGCGGGCAATGCTAGTGTGCTTGAGGATCAGACATGTACCAATCTCTTGGCTCTTCTTGAACCCACAGTCACAACGGAACACGTTGATTCCCCTGGTGAGTATCTATATATAGTAACTTTTTTTTTTCTGCTTTTAATTATAAGGTGTTTGCTATGGTTCTGTTATGCTAGTAGAATCAGTCCAAAGTTCACAGGAAATGGGTCATGCTTAAGTTTATCATAAGAATGTGTGTTTCCAACTGTGTATTTGAAGATGTTAAAATAAAAATGGCTTAGCATGGAGCCTGAGTGTAAAGAATGCAAGATTTTACAAAAAAAAGTTAGTTGTGCTTGTGTTGTAGCTTATTTGCAGCTTTCACAATTACAAGAATAACTTTTGCAATATTTGCAATTCACAGATATTGATGTCTGGGGTGAAGACAGCCCAGCAGTGGCAACAGCACCTGCAAATGACGTACACTGTACACCTGTCACATCTAAGCAAACATCCATTCTAGGCTCGGCTAACCAAAACATGCTTTTAATAAATGCTGCTTCTCCTAAACTCCAGTATCCTGGTTAGTAAAAGCTTGGTTAGTGGTTTGTGGTCTTATTGGATGCTGTCTGTCGCTTACTGAATGGTGAATTAAGTTTTCTTTTCTGGAACCGCTGTTATTCAAAGCTGGCTTGTAGATGCTGTCAGATGCAGACCGAATGTCTTTAACATTGCCTTTGTGTACTGTGAATTGTGAAAATTGATATAATTTCTTTGATTAGAAAAAATACTTCTACATTTGTTTTCAGAGGTGCTTGGACATGGTTAAATGGGCAAATTATGTGAGGGTTTGTTGCCCAACTACATACTTTCTAAGTTGAGGGAGTGAAGGCATGAGCAAGATTTTATGAAAGTCATTAACACCTTCATCTCCCTCTCCCTTTCTAAGCAGAGGAAACCAAGAGAGAAGCTCAGGAAGAAAAGTGCTTCTCTCCTCTCCCCCAAGCTGCCGAAAGCAAGGAAGTGGCTGCGCATGGGATTCTGTCCGAAACCAACACTCTTAGTAAGGGCAGCAGTGGGCGAAATAAATCTCGAAGGTCTGTCATGTTCGCTGTGCAGGAGGACCAGGAGAACCTTGGATCGCCACACTTCCGGTTTCCAGGCACTCCAGTCAGAGCATCATCGCGGGTGTCCAGTGAGTCAGCTCTATGCATTGAAACCATTGAAAGATATTCATACGTTCACGTGTATACACTTGAATGTATTCGTAGTCATTAATGTATACGTAAGCTACACAAGAATGCTCAAACACTTTTTCGTATTTACAAACTTATTCTTGTACATAGGCTAATTGCAAGCTTTAAGGGGTATGTAATTTAGTAAAGTGAGGAGCAGTTGATCCATAGTTTTAAGGCTAATTATGCCTTTTCTTTTCCAGTGGGGCTCTTCTCCAAAGTGGACACAAACACTGACACCTTCCCAACCCAGGGCGAGGACCTGATGGGCTTTGACTCCCCGCAGAGTGAAAAGAAGACGGCACGTGAGTAACTAACACTCATATTCTCTCTCTCTCTCTTTCTCT